ATAAAAGTGGGACTGTGACTCAATAGGACTAATGTCCTTACTCTGTGAGACATCAGAGCGCGCTCTCCATATGCAGAGGCACTAAAAGGCTGAGTGAGCGCACAATAAAGAGGTTCAACACAAGGGGAGTGCTTGCACCAGATATCCTGCTGGCACCTTGATCTTGGACTTCTCAGCCTCCAGAAATGTGAGAAAAAAATTGATTTTTTTTTTTTTTTGGCCATCCAGTGTGTGGTATTTTGTCGTAGCAGCCTGAGCAGATTTATATATATATATATATATATATATATATATATGAGAGAGAGAGAGAGAGAGAGAGAGAGAGAGGAGAGAGAGAACTGTTTTTCATATTTGATTTGTCAAAAGCAGAACTTTGATGTCTAATGTTTCTTCCTTTGAAAAGCTCTCTCTCACAGCCCTGCTCCCCTCCCCATTGCCTTCCCCCTCAATGCTTACAATCTACAATCCAAATTTAAGATGGTTTTTATCTTGGTACAATTAACAAAACACTAAATTTATAGTGGTTCCTCATAGTTACCACACCTCATTTTTGCAAGAAGTCTGCTCTAGTACTTAGGAGCATCACCTGAGATTAGCAGCAAGCTGCTGTTTTCTGTTTTATGGGAAAAGCAAGACATTTCCCAGAAGCTACGCACTGACTTCAACATCTCATTGGTCATAGTCATGCCACAGGCTCACAACTAGCTGCAATGGAGCTGAGAAAGCAAGTAGTTATCCAATTCTTTTTCAGGGGTGGCAAAGGAGAAAAGGAATTCAAAGATCTGTTGAATAGCGTTTGCAATACAGAGAACTGGACTGGCAAATCAGCTAATTCTAGAGAGAGAATCCTCTAGTTAAGAGGCTTAATCACCCAAGGTGGGGTTGTACATTTCGCATGTTAGTAAAGCCCTTACAAAGGACTCTAGCCATGATCTAACATTAATACCTCTTCGATTACAATTAGCGAGGCTGCAGGCGTTATGTTAGGGTATTTAAAGACTATACCTATTCTCACCTTTATCTATTATAATAAAATGCTATTTTTCATTTATTGAGTATACGTTGGCTATATTGCTTTTTATCGCTGTTTGTTCTGTGTAGAAATGTCAGTTATACTTTGCTATTAATGAAAAATGTAAGAAAGTGGCAAGTGGAAACTGTTCTAATTTGTGGCGGTGTTTAATACTGTAACTTGAGTTTATTAATACTGTGCTCTGGCCAAAAACCTACCCATAGCTTACAACTGGCTAGCTTTTTAAGTTTGTTCCATATTTACTCTTCTTACTTAAAATCCTCTTTATTTTTCTTATTGAGGATTGAGGTATTACTGGTTTACAATACTGTACATAATTTAGGACAAACCCTAGAATCATACTTAATAAAATTATAACAATTTAACATTGGTTTATAATATTATATCAATTTCTCGAGTACAGCTTTGCACTCCAATATTAATAGATACATCACCTCAATTACCACAAAAGTTCTAGTGCCATTTACACTCTCAAATTGACCCCTCTACCTGTTTTCCCACTTTCCTTTACCCTCTGGTAACATTCATTTTTTTTTTTCTGTTGTATTTTATTAGTTCATTTATCAGTAAACAACTAGTTTGTTTTATTTGATTCCACACGAATGAAATCATCCAGCAACTATATTTCACTTTAACCTATTTTGCTTAGCATAATTACTTCAAATTCTATGCATGTTGCAAAAGGGCAAGATTTAATTCCTTTTTATAGCTGAATAGTATTCCATTGAGTCTATGTCCTATCCCACAATTTCTTTATTCAGACATCCACTGATGGGCATCTAGGTTGTTTCTGTATATTGGCTAATTTGAATAATGCTATGAACATAGGGATGCAAGCTTTTTTTTTTTGAGTTAGTTTTTTCATATTCTTCAGATTAATTCCTAAGAGAGGTATTGCTATATCATATTTCTATTTTTAGAAATATTTCGATTTTAATATTTATATTTCTATTTTAATGCAATTTCACCATACCATTTTCCATAGAAGTTGCACCAGCTTACATTCCCACCAACAGTGTGAGGATTCCTTTTTCTCCACATCCTCAGCAACACATGTTGCTTCCATCTTTCCTGGCACTCACTTGATTTCCTTTTTCCTTCAGAGAAAGTCCTTTCAGACGTGAATAGTTTTATCCATGTGGAAGACTTGTTCTGGTAAGTAACTTACAATTAGATTTTCTAGTTTCCAAAAATTTTTCCACTATCTTTACATCAGCACTAACAACTCACTACTCACTATCACATAATTTAAATCCCTTAGAGATAGCAGTAAATTCAACGTTATAGTCAGGTCCAGTACTTCAACACCACAAACTTTTCCTTTGGTTATGATTATCATGTTGAGAGGACATGATTCTGTGTCTAATATTATGTTTCACTCTAGGTTACTACAAATTTCTCCATATCTTCTATAGGCCCTTTTCTTTTTTTTTTGGTGGGACCCTCGCTGGCGGCCGGGGAACGAACTGGCGCTGCAGAGGCTGTGGGCAGCCTCGCAGCCCAGCGCTCAACCGCTGCGCCACCAGGGAAGGTATAGGCCCTTTTTAAAATTTGTTAGTCTTGCTGCTTTCAACGAAGCAGATTCTTCAAGAACTTCTTGTACTTCCAAAATCCTAGCTCTGGTGGAGCAGGACATGCCTGACTCGTGAGCAATAACCATCAATGATTTTTTGCTTTTGTAGCACTTAATCACCTTTCATTTCAGTTCCAGGTCAATCATTTGTTGTGACCTTTTATTGGCAACCTTAGCAGTGAATTTTGTATACTTAAAGGGCCATCATGATCAAGTCAATATGAAATTAAATCAAGTACAAGGGTAAAAGATGCTATCAAGAGATGTGATAAACATGAGAAAGCTGTCTAACATGCTGTGATATGAGGAAAGTCACTAGGCAGGAGAAATTCTGGGACAACCATCCTACATGTGGTCTGTCATCAACTGAAATATTTGTTATGTGATGCACTGCTATAGTTGAGAAAACAAACTGCTTTAACATAATCTCCAAATTTCTCTTTTCCTATAATAAACTTCACTTCAAAACTAAATTATTATTGAACCTAAGGCTACTGTTTCTTTCTACTATCACAGGCAGTTCAACCAGACTATACAGATTCAACTAAAGAAAGTGTTTTTTTTTTTGCTTTTTTCCCCCACCAATTATGTTTATTGAGGTAAAATAGTTTTACAACTTTGCATCTGCTCTGGGGGTTTTCTAAATAAATATGCTTTAATATGGTGAGTCTCTGCATAATTGTACAAAACACATTTGCTAAGTTTTATGGTTATACTACGTACATGTGAATTTAATTTTTAAAAAGCTAAGAGTATCAACAAAGGAGTATTCTTGTTTCAGATATGTTCAATTTTTTTTAATTAATACTGGTTACATTTGAAGTACATTGCCCCTATTCACAAAGACTTAGAATGATCAGTAATATAAACTACAAATTTAAAAAGAAAGTCATAGACTCAGTTGACATCTGTGAAATGCAGCAGTTAACTATAATGAAATTAACAATAATCAGAGATTGGGATGAGAACATAGGGATTAGAGGGGGAAATGGCATTCAACATCTGAACAACATAGCTACTGCTGTACTGAAAAAAATTATTAAATGAACATAGTATGAATAAAATGAATTATGAAAGTAAAAAAAGTAAATTCTAAATATAAATACTAGTGGTTTACCTAATAACAAGAGTTTTCCTGACCCATCCAAAACTTAAAATACAATCTTTTTAAGGGCCAGGTTTTCAAAGTGTGTGGTTCACTTTCTAACACTGACATGTAGCACTATAATATGTGAAATTTAGCAAATTATCATTCTGCTTTATTAGACTGAAAATGATATTAACTTATATGATCATCCTTTTAAAATCCTTTTTAAAACCTAGAATATTTTAAATAAACAAGTAGACTATTTTATATTCTTTGTCTATTTTAGAAGAGTAAACACATTTCTAATACGTAACTCCACTTTGTGGAAAATATTCTGTCTGAGACAGCACACTTGTGCATTTTCACAGACTTTAAAAATTCTGTGTACTTTGTTAAAAAGCAGACTTTTTTAGCTTAAAGGTTATCAACAGCGAATGCATATTTAAAATATGTCAGCAGAATTTAAGCAACCATATCTTAATATATACATCAAGATACTGATAAACATTGGAGATTATTTTATTTCCCCAATAAGTTTCCCTCCATTTTTACAAAGCATATGTAGTTCAACATCAACAACTGGTATTTCAAAATGCCAACATGACTATAATCTTTATTAACAGCAATATGCAAAACAGTAGAAGTAGAAAATAAATGACTAAATTCTTATGATAAAAATGAAATAAGGCACTTTCAACAACAATATGAGAAGCATAAATAAACACTTTTTCATAAAGCTGACTCACAGACCCTATGAGACTTTTCTAAAAAGTAAGAGTAAAGGCACTACATAATTCTTTTTCATAACTCCAATTATTAAAGAAATTTACCAATTAAACTTGGCACAAAAAAGTTTAATTATCATAAAGTGCATCATTTGGCTAAATATATTAAAGAAAATCAACCATAATACACCATAGCAACATATTCACATATGTAGAAATAAAAATGCCATGCCAGAATTCAACATAGTTAAGAACTTTGTATTAATATGGCTTTTTATTTTGATTTTTTTTATTTACTTAGAATCTATAGTATATTTTCAAAAGAGTATGCCTTCATTAGCAAAAAGAGGTAGTGTCTTGAAAAGGCAAACTCACTGATTCTACAGGTAAAGATTTAAGATAAATATATGTGGAAAATAAACAAGTATAACACAATAAACTGGATAATTATAGTGTTTTTATATCAACGAATTAACTTTTAAAATCAAGGTTATTTTATCACTTTAGCTATATTATTATACCTCTTTTAAATAGTTTTCTTTTGTTCCTAGGAAGTTTTCTTCCTCTTTTAAACAGCAGTAGCATTTCAAATAAGCAATTTTTATTTAAAGATAGTAAACATGTCAATATCTAAAACTCAATTCATCTTTACCATTGATTTAACCCACTAATGAAAATATATCATGTCAGAGTTACAAAGAAATATCTATCAAGTAGACATAGCAACATGCAATTAATGTCCATTTGTCCATTCTAAGTGATTTAAACACACGCACACAACACATGCACACATTAGTTTGGAGTAATATACTGGCAAAACACCAAAGTAATTCTTGCACAGTATATAAGACTGTGGCCCTGGATAACAGAACTCTAATAACTAGATTTTTTTAGTTTATTAAATACAAAGGTTGGATAAAACATTTTAAAGCAGTAGTGAATATATTTTCTATTCCAATAACTTAAAAAAAAACTTTTCTTTATATAAACTTTATACATTTGCATTCTAGCTATTTTCTACAAATATTCCAGTCTATTTTTTTTCTTTTTAAATATTTGTCAATCTATTTTAAATTTGCCAAAACAAAAATGATGGAAACTTCTTGTGATGAATTAGTCTTCTTCAGTATTATATGCCACTTCTGCTACTTCTATCTCTGACAAAGAATTTTCAGGTTCACTAACACTTAAGCATGGATTATTATCAGCTCTACAAAAAAAGAGAGAAACATCAATGAAGAGATTGCATATATACTTTCATTTCACTATTACCTTTAATATCTTTGACCTTATATAAAGCATAATAAATAAAGAATATTTTCAATGGAAAATATCTAATGGAACATTTAAATGTTCCATTAGGAATTTAGTATTTTAAAATTATTGTTGCCATATAATAACTCAGATAATTTTGAATTCTTTTAGTTCTCCCCAGAACCATTTACCAATAAAAATCTACTTTGTCATTTTACAATTTGTTCTCATAATTACAGTTTAACCTTTATTACTAAAGTAGCAATAATTACCTTGGGTTTATATGCAATAAAAATTTTGTGTTTTCAAATATACTATCTTTTCATCATTCCAATTAGGTAGGCAGGGTGGTTGCTATTATAGTGTCCCACCTTTTAAATGGAAAAAGAGTAACATCACAGGAGATTAATTTTTCAACACTAAAAAATGAATGAGTTACCTTAATCAGAGCCCACTTAGTTCAGACATAGTTTCAAATTAAGAAATAAGAAAACCTACAGTCTGGATGTCAAAGACTCATTTTTTAGGAACACTTAGAATATCTATAATCTTTCTCTGAGCAACAGATTCATGATACAATAACAAATTCATAAAAAGATACACGGTATTTTCCATCCAATCATTCAGATGATTAGGCAATAATAAACTAAACATTATATACCTAGATTCTTCATCCAAGACATCCTGGTCAACCTCAAGTGCAGAGGACTCCATCTTTAACATCTCTTGTTCTTCTGTTCTTGACATGTGAAGTGATTCTTCAGGTTCTAAGGATAATGTTCTAAAAGTAAATCACAGCAGTAAGTTATTTTCTATGAATAAAGTATAGAAAATATGTAGCTTTAGGAGTCTTCAGTCTTAGGTCTTAATGCAGTCATATGGCTAATAAAACGCTAACTTGGTGAGAGAGAAATCAGTACTTAATTTAAAATTATTTCAGTATCAATTCAATAAATTTTGCAAAGAGCAAACTGAAACTTTGAAAGCTGGCATAAATGCCTAGATGATACCAAAGATACAGTTAAAATTGGTGTTTATCTTATTGAATAGCTGTATACTAATTTTTCTGATTTTTCCCATTCTTTAAATGTCTCATGTCTCCTAAATAAAATATCAAAAGATAGTTTTCCCAATCTATAAGGAAGTGTGCCAACAGTCTATGACTTTTATCATCAGAAATTTCCTAAATCATATTAAAATACAAAGGGCAGTTATGCCAGCATATTAAGAGCTGAATTAGACAGACAAAATGTAAGTGTTACAACATACCTGAGTCTGTTCTCTAGCATGTCTATATGAAGCTGCTTCTCAGTGAGCAGTTTCTTCAGTGATTCTACTTCTTTTTGTTTTTCAAGTAGTTCTTTCTGAAAACGGTAGTTTGTCTCTTCTAAAGTTTCACAGAAAGCCTTAAAACCAAAAAACACATGCAGAAAAAGAATAAAATTACTTATGCAGTACTTCAATCAAGAGCATAACTGAAGAGTCAAGGAACATGGATAATTAACCCATTGCATGAAACCCAAATGATTTGTTCTTCACACTAACTTCTGAGATCTCTGCTATCTTGCTCTCTTAGTCCCTACATAGGTGGGGACTTATAATTGCAAGTCCCTTTTCTCGAGAAGTATTAAGGAGTAAACCCATATGCCTAACGTGAATATGTAATATTTCTCTAATTAGAATTAGGAAGAAAATAACTAATAACCACTGTTTTAGTTTCCATTCTCCTGTTTTTGCCCAGTTTTAGATGATTACACTTTTAAAAGCTGGGCTATGCATGATACTTTTATTAGCTCAGCATACATATTACTGTAACAACTTTTTAAAATAATAGCACCTTCAACATTACTTTGCACTTGCTTCTTACTCATTTTAACTCAAAAGTGACATTCTATTCTTTATATTTCAGGATACTAACCATTGCTAAAATAAAGATTAAAACAAAAAACAAAATTATACTACCATAAAGAATGATGGCATGAAAAAATTTTGATTACTTATATTGAGGTTTTCAGTATTGCTGATGAATTATTTAAAACTGCTCCTAGTTATCTATCACTTCTTGTCTTATCCTTGGCTGTTTTAAACCTTCACCTCTGAGAAATCCCCCTACAATATGTTACTACTACTGAATCCTAACTGCATCTGCATCCTATTGTTTTTCTCAAGAACAAGGGACTCTTCAAATGAAGCCTTACCTCCTTTGGAAGCTTGATCTATCACTTATACTCTCCCTTAAAATTTTAACCTTCCTCCCTCTTTTGGCCTCTAAGTTTACTTACACTTGACTGAAGTTGATTAAATAAACCCTCAAAAAAAAAAAAAAATAGCCAGTTCCTCCCCAAATCTGATGTAGAGCATTTAATTTGCCAAGTCCAAAAAACTAAAAAAACTCAAATTCTGATAAGCAGAGATCTATACTTTGATATATCACAATCAAATTACTGAAAGCAAAGAAAAAAAGTCTTGGAAGTAGTGAAGGCAAAAGGACTCATCATATACATGAAAACAATTTAATTAAAGGTTGATTTTAGAAATAATAGAGACCAAAGGACAGTGGAATGACAATGCACTGAAAGTAAAAAACAACAAAACCCAAAAAGCCTTTAAAAATGAACATTCTTAGATAAACAAAGATTGTGAGAATGTGTTGTCAGCAGGCCTACCTTATAAAAAAATACTAAAGAAAAGGCTTGAGATTGAAAGAATATAATATTAAACACCAATCCAAAGGAAGAATGAAAAAACTTGGAAATAGCAAATGTATGGCTAAATATAAAAGTGTATAGAGTATTTGTATAAAGTATTTTTTCTTATTTATTCACATAAGCCCATTAAAAGATAAAGGATTGTAAAAAGAAATTATTATGCTGCACTGTTGGGCTTCCAACAAATATAGATATGAAAAACACAACAATGCCACACAAAGGGGAAGGAAAAGGAGATATACTGGAGTCATTTTTAATTCACTGGAATTTTAATATAAAAATATTTTATTTCATACAATATTAGGCAGTAAAGGAGGATGACCAAAACAGATGAGACAGAAAACACTGCAAAATCACAGATAGAAAAGGCAGAGAGATATCAGATTGAGTAACAGATCAAGACCCACTTATATGTTATGTGTAAGAGACAGTCCTTAGATGGAATGACACAGACTAAATATAAAAGGATAGAAAAAAACACACTATACAAACAATAATCATAAGAAGTAAACAAATCTGTGTGATAATGGAATAAGGCTAAGTAGTTAGATCAATGGAAGAGAATTAAGAGTCTAGAAAGAAACCCTTTTATGTTCACTTGACTTTTGATAAAAGGTGTCAGCACATTTCAGTTCAGGTACTGAACAATTAGGTATACATAGGAACTTAAGGCCCTTAGCTCATACCTTACAAAAAAATTACTTCAGGATGAATGATGGACCTAAATGTAAAAGCCAAAATTATAAAACTTCTAAAGACAATGTACAAGAAAACCTTTGTGATCCTGCATTGGGAAAAGAGATCTTATGAGACAACATAAGCTACAAAAGTATAGGCATAAACCATAAAGAAGTGATAAAATGAAAATTAAAACAAAAACTAACACTCAAAATACACTATTAAAAGATGAACAGGCATATACAGATTGAAAAAAAAACTATTTGTAAATCATATGTGATAAAGGATTTGTATGAAAAACAAAAGACTCTTGGAGCTCAAACTCTTACAAGAGAAACAGCTCAACTGAAAAACTGGGCAAAAAACTTGAGAAGACATTTTCATCTACATTGCTAAAAACATGAAAAAAGTGATCAGCATAAAAGATTATATAGAAAAGAAGAAATGGGTGAATTTTATGGCTGAAAAAAATTTTTTTTGGATGAAAATTTTACTTCAAGAGAGCTGTTTAAAAAAAAAAAAACTATGGGCCTCCCTGGTGGCACAAGGGGTTAAGCACCGCACTATGAAGCTATCTGCAGCTTTTGCACCACAAGTTCGATCCCTGGCTGGCCAGGGAGCAAACCACATGGCACAGCAGACCTCTCCTGACTCACCAGCTGCTCCCCTCAGCAGTGCATTTCAGTCAGTCTGCCTGTTCTGTTCCCCACTCTGTCTCTGGTGAATCTTCTCACCCCACCCCCATCTCTGGCCTGTACCCCAGCTCCTGATGCATAAATAAATAAATCTTAAAAAAAAAAAAAAAAAACAACAAAAAAACCTCTATGCCATTCACTCTAATACAAGGAACTGATTCAGTTTAATCAAAAACATTACAAATCTAGCAATTAAATCTGTTCCATTTAAACACCATTAAACATTTGGGGAAAAACTAAATCCTACCTAGTCCATTATTACCAAATCTGTTTTGTCCATCTAGCCAATTGCTTTGAGAAATAGGCCACTTGAGCACGTCAATTAATGTTATTTGAGTAGCATCAAGCTTGAGCTGAATTGGTAACAAGACAATAACTTTCACTTCTAAATGTAAGTTTCAAATTTGATTTTTAACTGTAGTTTCTTTGATGCTCAGATGGAAGAAACTGCAATATACAAACAGTACTTTCAACTTCAAATAAAGAAATTTCCAATTTTTTTTTTTAACAGCAAAAGAATAAAATGTAGGTTTAGGTTTTAGAGCTGCATTATTTATGTGACATGTATAAATTTTCATATGTATGCCAATGAAAGAAATCTTTGATTCAAATATTAAAAGCTTTCTGTGCAAAACTAGCATGGTCCAAAGTAATAATATTCTGTGGGCTATTCCCTTTAAAAAAACAATGTAGTTATTGTACTGTATTATTTGTTCCTCTTTTCGTTTGATATGTAATACAGTACTTACCCTGCTTTCTTCGAGGCTATCAAATGGACCTGGTGGATCATCCAGACAAAGAAATTCTCTTACTGCAAGGCTTTTCAAAGGAAAAAAAAATTAGCCTGGGTGTAATTAAGTATATAAAAGATAGCAAAAAGCAGAAGTTACTTTGAAGATATAGTGCTAAACAAGTTGCTACTGCTGATATATCAAAATAAGCAAGTTAGTTTAAAGAAAAAGGAGAAATTTTGTAATCAAGACACATATATAGTACCTCTGAAAACAAAGAACAGTAAAATATTTACTGTGGTTATTAATGATGCATCAATATGAAAATGGCCTAAAACAGCCTAAAGCAATAAATAATTATATTTTACTATAACAGATTGTGCAACATAAGACTTATCCCCTCCATCTGCCTTTATATATCCTTCACTTTGACAAACTGAGTTATATGCTGTCCCTGGTTTTGGACCTGTGCCTTAATACCTCTGAATAGTATTGACGGTGAGAGATAAAATAAAAAAACAATGTAGGAAAGTTCTATGTTGGTTTTAATGGATCAACTTTCAATTCATAAATGGATATGTGGTAACCTCAGACTTCTAAAATATCTTTTTAATAATTTCTTTCTGACTCATATTCATTTTCTAATCCACAGCATTTCAAGGCTTTCAAATTCTACCTCCTAATTACCATATTCCTTGATCCTTGTGTTTACCCTTCTCTGTGTTTCTGCTATTTTTATCATCTTTATTATACCAGTAACATTTCATAAAATCACTTATTTTGTTCAAACAGAGCAGAATATCTTCAAATGAATTCTAAGACCAAAGGAGTATGCCCTTAGCTTCTGTCATGTTCACCTTAGTATGGTATAGGGCAGATACAGATGACTAACACTTCATTCCCTCCCTTCATGTGTGTTTTAAAGAATACTTTAATAAGGAATTTCTTATACTGTGAAATTAAAAAAATGCTACCTACTTCCCACAAAAAAGATAATGAGGACCCTAGAATAAACAGGACATATCTTATTTCTAGTTCAATTTAAGTTATCTTACTGTTTCCTAAATATCTGATGATATGAGGAAAGTAAGTAGGCAAATAGATGCGAGGCATATCAGATTCTTTCATGTCAGGTTTCTTAGGATCTTAATACTCCAGGAAAGTCAAATCAAACCTTTCCCCAAGTTATCTGGTCAAGAAATCTTTCTTTCCCTGAAATACTTATTTATGAATTGAATAGACCACTGTTGTAGAGTATGCAATTTTAGAAACTATAGGATCTCCAATGTCGTAATGCCGACCTCAGAGAGGGAGATAAATTATCAGTAACTGAAAAATGATACACTTTCACCATTTAGATGTGACTGGAAATGTTCAGGGTTAAACTGAAACTCAGACTTAAATGCACTTTCACTTTTCAAAAAAAATCAAGAAATCACAAGGTTGAATTTATTTATGTGGTTCATATTATTTAATATTTCATTAGCTAGACTATAGTTGCTTACAAGATAAATTTGATTTCAATTCACCACATTTTCAAAACAGACAATAAAGTTTACAGAATGAGGAAGAAAAGAAAGGCAATGTGTTGACTTCTTAGTTTAAAAGTCTTCTTTTATGGTATTAAAATATATTCAAAGGCTTTCCCTACAATTTTAGAGTTTGTTAGTCTTAATTCCTGCTTTGTGATTTTGAACTAACATTAATCTTTCTTCTTTTGAGAAAGGTAAAATATATATAGACAAGTAGGGAGCACCCATGTTCCTACAACCTAAAATAGACAATTGGTACTTGTCATATTTGTGTCTATTTTTTTCTGTATAAAAAGTACAATAGCAAACATCAACAGTTCTGCTATTCCTCCAACAGTATTTATTAAGCAGGGATTCTGCGTCAGCTCTGTGCTAAGCACTATACATTTAACTGAACAAAAGAGCAATGGACACTTCTATGATTTGTGAATCTTACAAGCTGGAGAGAGAAATACAATCAAATAATCTCAGAAATAGTTACAAACTGAAATACTATTAGAGGGCTGATTAGCCTCAGCTGGGACTCCATGAGAAATAAACCCAACTGACAATAACTTAATGACAATTTCCTTAGTTCTCTGAACACTGGTGGATAGTTGGTATCATCCTAGATACTATCAAAGTTAATTCATTACATACATGTCTTAAGGCATTAGGAGCTGATCCTCAGAACCAGCAGAAAAGGGCTGCTACAGATACTATGAGAAGAAACTGATAGAGCCTTTGGTGGTGGTGATTGTGGGAGGCTGGAAGGAGGTGAGAGACTGGTCAGGAAAGCCAGTTTTTAAAAAATTGAAGTTTGTGTTGGAATCTGAAGGATATATAAGAGTTGTTTAGGCTAGGGCTGAGGATACTAGTGTGAAACACTGTCTTCCCAGAGAACAGCATATTTGAAGGCTCTAAGGGACAAAGGAACAAGGTGATTTTAGAAAATTAAAAGGCTGATATGGCTGATATAACTGAATGGGGGTGGGGAGGAAAACTAAAACATACAATTAGAAAGACAGACTATATATATATAGACAGGGACCAGAAAGAATGACTTTGTCAAACTTATTATAAAATATTACCATGAATCCAATGGATTACAGAAGCAAGAGTGGATGCGGAAGTGGATGAAGAAGGAAAGTTTCTGCAAAAATTAAGGTGAGAGTTCATAGCTTAGACTATAGGTAATGGTTGAACTAGAGAAACAGATGTGAGTGGCATTTAAAATATAAAGGAAGGGATAAGGATAATAAGGGCTATGTAAGGGATGACTTTGGGTTCTGGGTAAATGATGCTGGGGAAAATGTCTGGAGAGTAAGCGTTTAAGTTTGAGGTCACATCTAAAGTAGATGCTAAGGAGGCAATTACATATATGAAACTTGAGTTAAGAGAAGGGATCTGGTTTGTAGTCTCCTTCATAGAAGAAAACAAGGGGATGGGTAGAGCTCTCAAGAAGCCATCAAGCTTATGAAGCACACACTAAGAAGTAAGATGTAAATGCATAGTAAGTGTGTCATACATAAGATGCTTTACATAAAGACTGAGAAGGGTAGGTAGAAAAAGTGAGACAGGTTAGCTTTCTTAATATGTGAAAAATTGCAGAAGATAGTTACTGACATAGGTATCTACAATATGCTAGCGATGCATTGTAATGCCCTTTTCTTAATTGAAAATGGTTCTAATATATCTGATAATGTAAGTTCCAAAACTATATGCCCAGCTGATATAAAATAATAAAGCAATTTTCTTATAATATGAAGCAAAAACTCGTATGGATCCTTTCTTCCCCTTTATAATGGTTTTTGGCATTTTCATTTCCCCTCCTATAAAATTAACCCAACTTCACAGTTTTTACATTATTTTGGAGAAATACAAGAATATTATTCTGAAAATTATACAGTATTATTTTAACCAAAATATGTGGACCACTTTGTTCAAATAATTGCTAAAATACTAAAATTGAGTTTACAGCTGGGCAAATGGAGTATATAATACACTGAATTTTTAACTTTGCTGACTTTTTCAAAGTGTAATACAAATCAAATACCAGAAAAAAAAAAGCCTTATCAAAAAAAAAAAAAAGCAAAAAAGTCCCATCACCTCTATTAGAGAGGAAATATATATATAGTTATGTTTGTGACTAAATGACTATAGGTCTAGATTTTTTAAAAAAATAGACTAGGGTCTAGACCAGAGGTGTGGGGGGTGAGAGGATTCACCAGACACTGAGTGGGGAGCAGAACAGGCGGATCTACTGAAATACACTGCTGAGAGGAGCAACAGGGAGACTGGAGAGGTATGCTATGCCATGTGGGTCAGATCCCTGGCGGGGACTGAACTCAGGGCTTGGCACTGACAATGCTGAGACTCAACCCCTAGGCCACAGGAAGGCCCTATGGTCCTAGTTTGAGTTGTTGGAATGCTTTTTTAATAACCTCTTATTTTAATTTGTTACATACCAGTTAGCAATGTCCTTGTGAGCTATTAAATTTTGAAGAAATGCTTGTAATCCTAATTGTCTATCTTCTAAAAAGTCGGTATTATAATTATCTTTAAACCAGCGTTTTGGCGGAAGTGCTAATCGAAAGCCTGGAAACATATCTTTTAACTGAAAAAGGAAAAAGAAAACACAATATTCAACTTATATTAGTTGTGCAAAATCTATCCTGTTGACAATGTAAAATTATTCATAAGCTCTAAAGAGTATGATCAAATTCAGCTAAGCTTCTTGTTTATTTCTTCATTTCTATCAGTCGTGTAATACAGGAGTAACAGTTGCTCTGAATCCTTGTCAACACTTGGCATTATCTGACTTTTTAATATTAGCCATTCTAAATGGGTATGTAGTAGCATTTCCTTTAGATTTTAATATCTTCTCATGTGCTTACTTGAATTAACATATTTTCTTGGGTGAATTCTTTAGTCAAATGTTTTGACCCCTTCACTTAAAAAAACTAGGTTCTATTTTTATTATTAAGTTATATGAGTTTCTCATATATTTGGATACAAGTCCTTTGTCAGAAATATGCATTACATATATATTCTTCCAGACTGTGGCCTGACTCTTCAACAGCACATATGCTTTTAATTTTAATGTTACTGAATTCATCCATTTTTTTATAGTTTTTGCTTTTTTTCTAGATCATAGCTAAGAAAATCTTGCTCATGACAAAGTTGAAGAAATTTTCTTCTGTTTTTTCCCTGGAAGTTTGTAGTTTAGCATTTACACTTTGGTTTTCCAAATTTATTGGTACTTTATATTTTTTTCTGTGGATTACCTTGTAATATTATCCTGATATTATTTGCTGTATTTTTCACTTTTGGGTCTACTTTATAAGGGTTCTTAATATATTGAAGTTATTATTAATCTTCCCTGTTTCATATGTATAGCAAGCATAATCTAGGTGGCCCTGTCATCTTCGCTCCTGGTGTTGCTTCTGTGACTTTGCCATGTTACATAGCAAAAGAAATTTTGCCAATGTTAATTTGAATTTTTGATCAGTTGACCTTAAGATAGGCAATTATCTATGTGAATCTAATCTTATCACATAAAATCTTTAAAAGTAGAGTAGGGTTTTCTTGACTGGCAGTTAAAAGTGAATGACAGAGGGCCTGGCTTGCTGTTCCTGGCTTGGAAGATGGAGGGGCCAGGTGCAAAGATCCTAGAGCAGTCTTTCTGAGCTAAGGACAACCTCTTGCTGATAGCCAACAAGGAAACAGGGACCATGGCCCTACACCTGTAAGAAAATCAAGGTAGCCAAGGACCCTGATAAACCTGGAAGCTGGCTCTTCCTCATAGTCACCAGATAGGAGCCCAGTTAAGTCTACAGTTTGTTTTTGACCTTGTTTGACCTTAAGCATCAAACCTAGCTTAGCCCACACAAGGCAGTAGATAATAAACAGGTGTGCTTGACTATATCTTTCAAATTCACAAGATTTATATAAACATATTTATATGTTAGCGATTTTCACAATTTCATACTAAAAATACTTACTTACTGGTTTCCAAAAAAGGGACGTTAAATTCAAGAGATGGGACTTCAGAATATTAAAGTAAAATGAAATAATTTTCTTCTGAAGTAGCAAAGATTTGACTTCATACTTTATATGAAGTGACAGATAATAATTTTATAGGTGACAGATAATAATTCAAAATTGAAATGTCAGTTTTAAATTATTAAAATACTTACTTTATCATTAAGCCTAGAAAAGTCAGTATATCTTCTAAAAACTACCCAGCTTTCTTCTGGGGTTTTCCTTACTAGTATTTTATATACCTAGACAGAGAGAAAGATATTTAAAAACTCAATCCAATATTTTAAAAACTTTTACTTGACAACCTAAATCATCACATTATGTAAAAAAAAAAAACAAAAAAAAAAAACAGAAATAATTTACCAAATAATGATTTGTAATGTACAAATTTGAAATGTACAAATAATGTAGGCACCACAGCAAGATTTTTTAAGATGAATATGACAAATGCTATCTCTGTGCATTACTAGTGTGCTTTTTCTGTGACACTAGTAATGAACTCATCAGTCTGCAAAGCTTATGTTATAGCAGCATATTCTAAAACTGACAAAAGAATCAATCACGATTGAAAAAGCTATGAAAATAAGCCACTCTTGTCATGGATAACCAATATAATGTTTAAATTCAATAACTATCAAAGTTTTCCAATAAATTTCATGTTTCAATCTTCAAGTTGAAATATAAACTAAAAACATCAATGTTAGATAAGTTTACATTTCTACAACTGTGCACAATTGCCTCAGTTATTAAATAGAAAAACTTGATTGAAGCAAGTCAAAATATTTTAAAAAGAACATAAGAAAAATAGGTTTTCTTTCCTATAAGTGTAATTTTTGAGTATATTATGAGAAAGTACTACTTAGAACAGAATTTCAGAGAAACTGAAAAACCTCTTGGTGGTTTTTCAGTACAAGTATTTTGGGCTAAGCTAAATATATGGAACATAGGAAGTGCTAAATAATTTGCTAAGTGAGCAAAACTCTCTAAATGCTCTTTCAATGTTATTGCTGTACAGTAAGTTTCAACTTTAGCTGTATAGCTACATTCTAGCCATGTGGCTATTTGAACACTTGAAATATGATTAGATCAAATTGAGATATAATGTAAGTGCAAAATGCATACTAATATAAAGACATAAGATGAAATATGATGCTAAAATACTTTGTTAAAATGACTTTATACTGGTTACATGCTGAAATCATATTTTGGATATATTAGGATAAAATAATATTTATAAACAAAGAAATAATTGTTTCCTTTTTACTTTTTTTACATGGCTGCTAGAAAATTAAAAATTAGAAATATGAGTCATATTTGTGGCTCACATTATAATCTTATTGGACAGAGTTGCTCCAGAGCAAATTCATTACACAGAGTATAATCTCCTTATCATGTAATTTTTTCTCCCTTGAAGAATTCTCTTTAATCTTCTAAGAAGGAGAATCTTTTAGCTTTGAAGTAAAAAGCAATTTGCCTTTGTAACATGTAAAGAGGTGTGGAAGATCACTCGGATACCCTCTAAAGTCTCCAGAAAGTCCTGATCTAAGATAGTTCTAATGGGACAAAGGAAACATTCTTTTTAGGAGCTACCAAGTCAAATAAAAGGGATACATTAATTTCAGAACTCTTGAGTATGATTAACTGATGCATGCCAAAAGTTAACTTAACCTGTACATAACCTATATTGACTTTATTTTCTTATTTTAGAACATAAGCCCTCCCTTCTAACTAAACTACTTTCCATAAAGGTACCTGAATACTCATTTTTCCAGGAAAGACAAAGTATAGAATTCGGTGTTTTAGCTTATGTAAAAAGTTCTCTTTCCTTTCTACATGTTTAAATAGTACTCTCAACAATAGCTTTATGGACAGACAGAACTAATCATTCCAAATAGCAGTTACTGTTTTTACTCCATTTGAAACTTATATAATACTTTTGTAGGGAGTCCTTGTTTTAGGATTTTAAAGTAAATTATAACATGCAGAAAGCATATACTTAAGTATAAAATACATATAGAAAAGTGCACAAATTATAAACATAAGTATATAACTACTGAATTTTCATGAAGTGAACACATCCATGAAACTAGAACCAGGATCAGGAAACAAGAGATTACTAATATAAGAAGCCTATCTCATGTCCCCTCCCAATCTTACTCATGACTGATCCTAGTCACTTTTTATTTTTAATCAATCTTTTCAAAGACTCTACACTATGTAAGAACTCACCAGAAGTTCTAATACTTACTTAAGAGAGCAATTAAAAAGATGTCTATCTAGGAAAAATTTTACAAACTTAATAAGCTTCAAACATATCTCTCATACCTCTCCTCTAAAGTCATATATCTACACACACACACAAAATCATGTGTACACACTCACATGTACATACACACACATAAGTGACACTTCCATTTTGATGTCTCACAGCTCACACTTAGCATGTCCCAAAGTATCTTGATCTTCCCTTCAATATCGAATTAAACGACCACCTCATTCCTCTCATTGTTTAGGTCCAAAACTTTGGGATCATCTTTGATTTCTCTTTCTCCTCCAGTCAAATTCCAAGGCTCTAATTTCAAAACTGATCCAGAATTTTATGACTTCTCTGGACGTCCTTTACCACCTTACTCCATGCCCATCATCATGTCTCTGGTGAATTACTGCAAGAATCTAACTACCTTCTGTTTCCATTCTTCCTCCACAAAACCTAGTCTCAATTTAGCAGCCAGACGAGTCTTTAAAAAAATTAAGTTGGATCAGATGACTCTTCCTTTTAAAATCTTATTGAAGATTTTCATCTAAAGCAGTGTAAAATCTTTTTTTAAAATTGAATGTATTTTAAAAAAAAAATATATATATATATATTTCACATCATCGTTCATTTTTGTATGTTTGATTTTTCCTTTCAGGTGTAATCCCCTTAAAATGCCCACTAAGTCACCTGTGAACCATCATCATAGGCTCTTGTGCTTTTCCCTCCCCTGTTTTGATCCCTCTTCCTTCCCCTTCCCTGCTAAGTGTCTCCAATTTATAGTCTGCCTGCTAATTTCCCCTTTTTTTTCTTTCCCTTCCCCTTATTTGGCTTCCCTATATACCTCCTGTAAGTGAAACCATTCAATATTTTTCTTTCCTTCTCACTTATTTCACTGAGCATAATCCCTTTCAGCTCCATCCATGTTGCGAATAGAATGAATTTATCTTTTTTGATGGCTGAGTACTATTCCACTGTGTATATATACCACACTTTCTTGATCCAGTCATCTGTTTTTGGACATTTAGATTGTTTCCATATCTTAGCTATTGCAAATAGTGCTGCAGTGAACACAGGAGTGCAGGTTTCCTTTTGAATTAATGATTTTGTGTCCTTTGGGTAGATTCCTAGGAGTGGAATTGCTGGGTCAGATGGTAGATTTATTTTTAGTAATTTGAGGGTCCTCCACACAGCTTTCCATAGTGGTTGGTCCAGTATGCATTCCCACCAGCAGTGTAAAAGGATTCCTTTTTCTCCATATCCTCACCAGCATTTGTTATTGTTAGTTTTTTTTTTTTTAATGTGACTATTCTTACTGGTGTGAGGTGATATCTCATTGTGATTTTGATTTGAATTTCCCTGATTATAAGTGATATTGAACATTTTTTAATGTGTCTATTGGCCATTTGCATTTCCTCTTTGGAGAAGTGTCTTTTTAGCTTTTTAACTCAGTAAAATCTAAAGACCTTACCTTGTCTGCATATCCTACTTGATCTGTGTGCCATATTCCCTTGTCTTAGTTTCTATAATTCTCCAGTTGTTTACTTTGCTGTCAGTCACAAGGGTCTTTGCAATTGTCCCATCTATCTGGAAAGTTCTTTCAACAGATATTATCAAGATTCACCTCCTCTTAGTGCTGACATCCGTTTTTTGACTAACAAGGTTGTTTAAGTCACAACTCCAGTTTCAGGCCTTTCCTCTTTTTTATCTCTTTTTAGCACTTATCATACCAGCATTTAAAACAAATGTACTTATCATTTATTCATTCATTTATTTATTTGAATTGCTGTACAACTTCTGCCTGGAATGGTGCCTAGCACTTAATGGGCGCTGAAAAAAAATGCTGAGTTAATGAATAAATGACTATGACTAATTTCACATCTGCCATTTTCTTCTTCCTCTATATGTCATCAAAGACTTATATTGATAATTGATATGCCACTGCTTAAATTTGTCTATGAACCTGTATTTTCAAATATACACATCACCTCAGTGGATGCTCATTCCTTCATAAAGTAGGTAGGTCATTATAAGAAAATAAGCCATGAGTTTATTATAATTTCTAAAATCACTCTCAAAAAGGCAGGTCCATGCAGGTACCCACACCATTAGCAATCTTAAGGTAACTCTAGAGTATGTCTCCATAAATTAAGTCAATAATTTTTTCCTAGAGGTCCTTCCATTCTGTCGTATATTTATAGCATGAAATTTTGAAGTAAATATAAAAACTTCAAGAAATCCAATAGAAAGAAAACACTATTTCACCTTATCAGTGAATTTAGCAAGGTTGCTAAATACAGAAATATACACGAATACATGAGACCAAAATATATAAACTTGGAACGAGGAAACAAAAACGAAGATATTGAGTACACCAGAAAACGTCCATACCGAGAAATTAACCAAAAGACATAAAACCTTTTCACTGAAAACTAAAAAACATTATTAAAAGAAATTAAAGATTTAAGTAAATGCATTAGGTTCATAGATCCAACGATTACGTAATATAAAGATGTCAGTTCCCCCTAGGTTGGTCTATAGACTCAACACAACCCCACAGGAAAGGGCAAAGAACAGCCAAGGAAATATTCAAGATTAACAACAAAGTTAAAGTACTTAAGCTATTAGATATCAAGCCCTACCACAAATCTTTAGTATTAACAATGCAGAATTGATAAAGGAGAGGAAAATGGGACACAAAAACAGATTTATGGCCACCTAACGTATGACACAGACAACAGTGCAAATGTAGAGGAGAGAGTGGTCTTTTCAATAACCTGATTACTTGATCGCATATGGAGGAAAAAAAAATGTGTCTTGAGCCTTACTTTACATTATGGACAAAAATCAATTCCAGGTAGTTTACAGGTTTAAATGTAAAAGGTCAAACTAGATAAAGCTTTTAGAAGAAAACACAGGACAATATGTTTGCAATCTGTGAGTAGGCAATGATTTAAAAAAGTGGTAACCAAAAAAGAAAAATTAGTAAATTGGATTACATTAAAATGAAAAAACTTTTATCAAATGCATCATTAAGTGAAAAGGCAAGCCAGAGTGAGAGATGACAGTCACATGTTTTGATAAAGGATTTAAATCCAAAAATGCATAGAACATACAAATCAAAATAGAAAAGACTTCCCAAAACACAAAAGAGCAAAGGTCTTGAACAGACATTTCATAAAGACTATGGAAATGGCCAAAAGTCTTCAAATTAGTAATTAGGAAAATATAAATTAAAATCACAACATGATTACCAGTATACCCACTAAAACAGGTGACGTGAGATGGAAAAATATTACATGTTGGAAACATGTGGAATAACTGGAACTCTCATGCACTGCTTATAGTATGACTATTCTGGTACCCTGTTCACACCAGTATCTTCTAAGGCTGGACACATGATGAGCAACTCTACTTCTGGGAGATATCAAGCAGAAATCTGTACATGTGTTTACTGAGGGACAAGCACTAACAGGTTCATAACAAGAGTATTTGTAAGAGCCCAAACTGGAAATTATCCAAATACTCTTCAACAATAGAATGGATAAATTGTGATACTGCCATAAAGGATACCATCAGTATTAAAAATGAACTGCCTACAACTACATGTAAGATCAACCTTATAACTAGCACTCTTGCAGGATGAATCTTACAAACATAAACTCAAAAGAGTACATATGCCATAATTCCACTTAGTTAATAAACGAAAAGAGGCAAAATAAATCTAGATTATCAGCAGAGTGAGTACTGACTGAAAGAAAGCTTGGAGATAGGGCTTTTAGGATACTAGCAATGTTCTTGTTTCTTGAACTGTGTGCTAGTTTCATAGGTGTGTTTGGCTTATGAAAATTCATTCAAGTAAAACAAAAGTTCAGCACATAAGAATTGAGGTATAAAAACCATTTGAATTTTATGTTCAAGAAATTACAAGCATAGGCTAACAATCAACACAGGTTTAGAACACAAGTTAGTCAATGTCTCACTTTCTACTGGTGAATAGCATAAGTCACTATACTCACAGTAAATTTAGCTCTTTCTTCCATCACCTCATAACCCAGTATAGTAGGTGTAGAAGGTCTATTTTCCCAATTCACTGTTTCAGGATTTTGTTCTTCATTTTCTTTTGGTCTAGTAGAATACTCAATGGAAGGATCTGCACCTGTAAGTTTAGTCCTAATGAGGGGACTGCTACAGACAGATGAAGTACTATCCATTTGATCAGGTACACTTGTCTGTTTACAATTACCCATATTTGTGTCTTCTAATTGGCCTTTGGAAGAGTTTGAGCTTGTTGAGATACTTCCAAAAGAAGAACTTCTTTGGTTTCTGTTGGTTGTAAAGCTGGAAGCTGAGTTCCCTATGGGCATAGGAACTGGGACATAAGGAGTTGCCATCTTCTTTTGGCCTGTGCAAAAACCTACACGCTGCTGAGTCCAAACACTTAGACAATAACTATTAGGCAATCCATTATTTTCTTCTTAGGAATTCACTATCTAAAAATGAGAAGGACATGTTGAAAGGTTAACCTTTAAAATAGAGCATTAGCTGAAAGAAAACAAAATGTTCATATTTATTGAATTTTGTGACACTCTACTGGAATGAAAATATGCACTGAAACCTCTTCCTTTAATCTCAAAATATCTTCCATAAAGGACCTTTATTTAAAGAGAGCAGAACTACTCCACACCTTTTTTTCTTGACCCTCCTATTACATATTTTACTTCCCCCCCCCCATTTTATCTCCTTTGATGTAATCTGATTTCATCTATGAGAAAGAGCTGAAAAGAGGAAGAAGGGTAAAAACCTTTCTCAGGCTTCACTCCTTTGCTTAGAGTCCTGTCAGTAATACATAAAATACAGAATAGATGAGGTACGGTAGGTAGGGAAGGAAAGAAAGGGAGGAAAATCACTTACATTGCTTTATGATTAAATGAACTAAAGAATTAACAAGAATAATAACAGCGAACCTGAAGTTTATATGCTACAGCCACTCTTAAAATAGCAATCTATTAAACCCAGGGTCAAATGTATATGAAAAAAATGAAACTGTTTATATCAATCATGTAAAACTCCCAAAATTTATAACCAACAAGATTAAATAATTCTAAATTTAAAGGTTATGCAGTTTCCATATCATCAATAATTCTGCTATGCCATGAACTGAGGGTACTTACTTTATAACTCAGACTTGAATCTATGTTGTCAAAGGACTAGTTTACCTAGAGTACGAATAATTTCATAATAATACAAAGGTGAAAAGGTTTACCACTAAGTTGTTAAATAATAAATTAAGACAATGGAGTAACTACTGACCAGAGAAATGATATAAAGCAACAGGTCTGCCTATCCAATCACATCTAGTCAACTCAACTGCTGGGAAACGAAAGACACGAACTGCTCAAATTTGGAAAGAAGCTGAAATAAGATTTTTCAACCCAGCACGTGGCTCTGGGCAACCTTCCCAATCACTAAAGATTCAAAAAATTTGAGCTGCTGATTCAACTGCTCCTCGGTTCCGCCTGATGGCTCCCCAAAGAAATAAATAAGTATGAAAACGCAACCTTCTCCAGGCCTGTGGGATCGCCCTGCTGCCCTTTGCCACTCTTTTACCCGGGCACTCAGGGCAGGGGAAGAAGGGGCTGGAGCACCTTCCACACAATGGCTGACAAGCAAAGAGGTGAGATCTCCCCAAATGTTAAGAGAACTTATTTGGCTCCTTGGGAGCGTGATCACTTTTGCCCAGGGGTCGAGATGCTCCAAAGAACCATCATACTATTCCTACCCGGAAAACCTTGGGCAGGTGAGATAGCCTGAGCCTGTGCAATACGATGAGGATGAGAAAAGTGAAAAAACCCAGGGGCAGCTCGACCCCAGGAAAGTCCGACTGGTGTCCCGAACAGGTCACGGGTTTTCGGCTGGGTTGGTGGCGAGATCCCTGGGCTCCCGGGGACTCCCCAAATGGCCCACCCCGGCTTGCCAAGGCGCGGCAGGCGACTCCTACAAACTGGGCGGACTCAGCGGTGGCCTGAAGGTGGACAGGAGGCGCCCCCAGCGCCCCTCCAACCTCCTCGTCCACCCTGCCCACTGCCAGGCAGCTACCGGGGCGCAGGTGTCACCCCACAAGCGCCAGCATAACGTTCGCTAACCTGTTCCTACCGCAGCCCCCCCTGCAATCCCGCTGGAGGACGCTTCTCCGGGACAGGTTAGTACCTAACCGCACCTTTTCGTCCCCACCCCAAGCAGGGAGAAGCCTCACGTGATCCTTCGACCCCCAAAGCAGTAGCTCCCAGCTTAGCCCCGGCCGCCCGGCCACGGATCCCGGCGAGGTGGTGGGAGGGGCCAGACTGGAACGCAGCTCCAGGAAGTGACGTCACGTAAAGCGCGCCCGCCCCCGGAGGCGCAGAGTGGAGTTGGGGGTCCCAGCTCTGTTGCATTTGGATTCGCGCCAGTTTTATGGTAAAAATTTGATCATTTTGTCCTAACTTTTATTTTATAAGTTAACTTTTGAGAAATGGAGGATGTGATGTCTTATTTGTATGGCAGGTGATCAGAACACTACAGTTTTCAGTGGGAACTACACCCTACCTTGGTCCGGGCTCCTGCTTTGCATCATGGGACTTGTAGTCATGACAACCCCCCCCCCCCCCCCCCCCCCCCCCCGGGCACTTAGGCTGGTTAGAGGAGGTTATAGGTTTTCCAGATTTAGAGCACTTGAAGGGATGACACTGAAGTCTATGAATGGATAGAGAAAGGGCACTGCGCTGCAGCTCATAGGTCCTACGTAATTCAGAAGTCCTCATCGGCACGTAACTCCTGAATTTCTTTTCCCCTTCCACTATTTGGGGAGCAGTTTTTATCTCAAATGATACAGATTTAGATGTTCACATTAACGTTATCGGGAAAGTCGTTTTTTGATAGTCAAGTACCAAGATTCTGTTCAGTCTGCAAGTCTGTCAGAATCGTGCAATTTGACATAAAGACTATTCATGATTTCTAAGGAAAACCTTAGAATTTCCAAAAGGAATATTGTTAAGACTAGGAAAAACTGATAGTTGTAATTTCAAAATGAACATGGAGAGGTGATCTGATTTGTGACATAATACTGGTTTGGGGTGGTAATATTGCTCTTCCAGTGCTATGAAAAATAATTTTGTAGAAACAGCAGAGTAAAACATGGGTAGTTTTCAGCATACGCTTGCCAATCAGGGCCTTGAGGTGGCAGTTATATTGATGAGTTCAGTGAGTAAGGGTATAGAGAGAAAAGAAAAATGAGCCTTAGAATATTTCTCTCCTGGTTAGGGCTGCAGGTGGCAGCAAAACAGACCTATGAGAAGGAAAAACTGATAGTTCAATATGAAGGCAGACAAGAAAAAAATAAATTTTCAAGAAGTAAAGGTGTACAGATACCAGCTAGGATGAGGGTAAAAATCTAGAAAAGGTTATTAAAATTGTCCAAGAATGACTTCCTTTACAGGTTATTGTAAAGCACATAAAGGACATACTGATACATACTGTGTGTGCCTTTATCTCCAGAATATCTGATGTTGATAGCTGTCTAGATTTAGCTTTCAGAAAATGAACTGAACATCTGTGATAATCAAAAAAGAATATCCTGTTGTTACCAGAGTAAAAGTTACATTATCAGACTGTATCTGATGGCTCTTCTCCATGTATGGAATATTTTAGTTAAGCTTGACTGCCTCTGTATAGTGTGCAGAGTCAAAGTATACCTTTTATTTAATTTTTTAAAGATTTATTTATTTATGCATTCAAGAACTGGGGTACAGGCCAGAAGTGTGGGGGTTGAGAGGATTCACCAGAGACAGAGTGGGGAACAGAACAGGGATACTGACTGAAATACACTGCTGTGGGAAGCAGTGGGCAAGTCAGGAGAGGTCTGCTAAACCATGTGGGTCATCTCCCTGGCTGGGGATCGAACTCTGGCTGCAGTGGCTGCAGATAGCTTCATAGGTTGTGTCTTAACCCCTGCGCCACCAGGGAGGCGGAATTGTATACATTTTAATTTGTAGAGTTACAGAAGGCCATTAAAATCATTTATAATTTTTATAATATATATCTACCTAGAAAAGCATTTGATCCCATTCAGTGCACAATTTTAGACAGTGTTAAATAGGCACAGGTAACTGTGGAAAGTGGGAGTAGGGGTGGGAAAGGGTAAAAAATCAGCAGAAAATAGTAATTGCAGCAGCACTCTTGAGGTGATTTCCTGGATCCCAGCCTTTCTCCCTTCTCTGGATATTGATCCCTCTTCTACAATGCAGGACCCTAGTGACCATGTTTATATTATATCACTCTTGTAACATGTTTTTCCTAATAGTGGATTTTGCCCAGGGAGGACATTTGACCCAGTTGTGCTGAAAAGATTCTGTCTCCTAGGAATTGAAAGGGCATGCAGGGTTGTGGAATATAGGCAGAAAATCACAGGAACTAAAGTCAGATAAAATAACATTCTTTGGTAAGAAGGTCCATGGATTCCCATTGCTCAGGTCCCTAGAGTTGATAGAGTCTTCTCCATACTTGTTTTTCCCTTGGAGTTCATCTAATACCTTTGTGTTCATTCAATAGATTTGCTTTTTGTTTAAATCTAGATGGAGCTGGTTCTTTTGCTTATAACTAATACAGCAAGTTGGAATGAGGCAAACTGAATATTAGTAGCAAAAAGTTGATAAAATGCAAGCAATTCATTCTCAATGATTTATAATAACTAACATAAAAACTTTCAACTATTGTTTTGGCATGATTTAATAGACTGTTTCCAAAGCAATTTATATGTAATTTTAATACTTAGGATATTTACACCACTGCTCCCTATTTTGTAAAAGGTGATCTACTCTTAGAGTAACAGGAAGTAACCAAAGTAATAATAGGGAAATAAGACAGCTAACTTTATTACTATGAATCTGTGACCTACGAAATTTCCTAAATTCAGGGTAAGGATTATATGACCTTTTACAATGCACAGAGAAGACACTCTTCAATACTGCTACTTCTGATCAGTGATTTTCCACTCACATTATTGTCCATAAGGAAAGTATTGAAAGCATGTGTGGAAATCCTACTAGAAATATCGAGACCAAATTCTTTTCAAAATTGCAGTTATAGGGCCTCCCCAGTGGCGCAGCGATTGAGCGCTGGGTTGTGAAGCTGCCTGCAGCCTCTGCAGCACCGGTTAGATCCCGGCTGCTCCCTGGCCACCGGAGGAGGGTCCCACATGGTGCGCAGACCTCTCCTGCCGCGCGCTGCTCCCCTCAGCAGTGTGCTTCGGTCCTTCTGCCTGCTCTGCTCCCCGCTCTGGTGAATTCTCTCACCTTCCCGCCCTTCTGACTGTACCCAGTGCTTGTATGTATAAATAAACAAATAAATAAATAAATAATTGCAGTTATAATGTTAGTACTGAAAGTATTTATGTGGATAAGCCTTTATTTTTCTGTTCTGAAGAAAACAGAGGCCAAAAGATCTGCCAGACATCACAAAGCCAGTGAGTCTTTGACTCATACTAGCAAACTTCTTGCCACACACAATAAGACACCCTTTCCTGAGTACATCTATACTCTATTATGTCTTAACTGTCTTTCAGCCTTCCAATAGTGTCTTGTCTCTGGTACAATTCAATTATCACTTGAGAACTAGGAAATAGTTATGGATTTTATGCATGAGGAGGGTCTGCATTGGGTCTTTAAGGATTGGGAGGAATTGGATAAGTAAAGCAAGGCGGTAGAGTACATTAAGTAAAGTGAAAGATTTGAGAGAGGACATTAACGGTGTGGAGTGTTGTGGGACGGTGAAGAGTTCAACTTGATTGTATTGGAAGGAGAGTGTTAGAGTGTAGCTTGAAATAGACTCTCATCTCTCAAGTTCATCTGAAACATAATCTTATCAGCAATATCATCTTGATTTCCTCAGATGGAATCAAATAAGCCCCTCCTCTGTGATCCTTTCATATTTGGTATGTGAGTGGAAACAATTTACGCTACTGCTCCCTATTTTGTAAAAGTCCACAAATACAATCACAGGTGATCTACTCTTAGAGTAACAGGAAGTAACCAAAGTAATAATGGGGAAATATTGTGAGTTCTTATTTATCTGTGTAGCCCAAGAGCAAGGATCATATATTAGACAGCTGTCTGTTGACAGTACTTTATCAGAACATGATTAAGGCAAGTATTTCATGGGTAGTCCCCCTCATTAGTAAGTTTAAAAAAAATCTGGTCCCCTTCATTCATATTTTCTGTAAGATCCCTGTAACCATTTGCATTTTCAACTCCTGATTTAGAAAATAATATCCAAATTATTTGCATAGGGCTATAGAATCCCTTTAGGAACTGATTTTCATCTAGTTTTATAGTTCTCTTTCCCCTAGTTTAATTAATGATTTACTCAACCAGTGAGCTATTTATTGAGTATCACATGCAATGAACCTCAGCATTTGGTCAATATCAATTATTTATCTTTCTGAGTTCTCCATTTTTTATTTTACTGGCATTTGTTGTTGCTTTTGCCTGGAACCTACCAACTTCTCTCATTCCATTTCTGAGGCTCAATTCTAGGAGGTTTCCTCTCCAAAAACCTACTAAATTCCCCTCTATCATGTGCTCACTGTCCCCTCACTGCCTTACTGCCATTGCAATCTGGTTACTCTATGCATCTGCCTCGCTGACTAGAACATGTGCTCCTTGAGACAGAGACTTTCTTCTCCAGGACTTGCAGGACCTCTGGCATGTAGTTTTGCCAAACTGAATAAAGGAATGGGTGAAAAGAAGTAATTACACTTTTTTTTTGAAGGGATAATAATATTTTTACATTTAAAAAATTTCATTGATTTTCCAATTGTTTGCATAACTATATTTTGGGAGTATAACACTGTACCTCAACATGCACACATGCTTCACTCACCTGCCACCAAAACTCCAGGTGTCACCTACTTTCCCCTATCACTTCCTCCCTTTCCCTTATTTGCTCTGGTAACCAGTATGTTTTTCACAGTCTTAACATTTGTTTCCAGTTTGTTTTGCCAATTTCTTTTCTTTGTTTCTTTTTATTCCATAATCGAAGGAAATCATTTGTCAACTGTCTCACTTTCTGACTTATTTCACTTAGCATAATCACCTCAAGGTTCATTCATTTTGTCCCAAGAGATAATATTTCTCTTTTTAATAGCTGAGTAATATTCCACCCAGTATATATTCCACATATTTTTTATCTACTCATCTATTGATGGCCCTTCAGGTTGATTTCAAGTCTTAGCTATTGTGAATAATGCTGCTATGAATGCAGGAGTTCACAAATCATTTAATATTACTGTTGTCATATTCTTTGGATATT